ATTGGATGAGTTTATTTTAGATTTTTTTAAATTAAAGCAAAAAATTTTGATTGTAAAAGTTTAGAAAAAACTAATAATAACAGAAAAACAATATTAAGTACAAAAATAAATCATTAATCATTTGAATTAAAAACAAATTAATGTTTTTAGTATCATAGTTTTATTTAATTTTAAATTAAATTGATTCATTTTACAGTTAAAACAAAACTACATCTGTGTAATCTGAACTAATTCTTAAATAAAGTAAATCGAATGTATAGTTACAATAAAAAAAATAATGATATAAAAAATATATAAATTATTTTCAAATCAAATTATTTTTCAAATCAATTTTAAACATATAAGTTTCCAGTTTTTGCACAGATATGAACACTATACTTACTATTTTCTCCTACTTTTTAGTACTTCGATACGCTTTTTTTACGTTAGCTCTCAAAGGTACGAAGTCTTTGCTTCTTGAAGATATGTGCAATTACATTTCGAGTTTTAAAGAATGAAAAATGGCAGAAATACACATCCAACTGGGATGAGATATAATAAATGTGTTATACGTTTTTCACTTCAATGTGAGTTTTGAAGAACTTAATCGAATTTCTACTCTAACTAGATAAAATAATATTGGTGACAATGTACACATATGCTGATGTCTATTGAGTAATTATTGATAATTTTCGTAGTCTTGACATAGTAGAGAATTTTCAATTATCCAACATAGAAGAAAAGACGTGTTTTTGCATGATACTATAAGATGAATTTATAATACTCAATCGATACCTACAACGGAAGACGTAGGTGTATGTTGTTCTCTCTTTATTCAGCAAATTTCATCATTCGTCAATATAACATACGAAGATTTTATTTTATTTTTGAATTTACGTTTATAACTGTTTAGTTAAATTATTTAACATATTAATTGAAACAGGTTTGTGAAACAAAGTTTGAGTGTAAGACTTTCATGGATCTGAATCTTCAAGCTTGAAACAATTTGTAAGGCATTTATTTTAACACATAAATCTATAATGCTGATTGACTTTTAGCAAAGCATAATCAGTGAGATGATATTTCTGCTATTATCTCTTCCATATGCTAAATACCTCTAACTGTCCATAATCTATTGTCAATTACCAATATAGATGCTTAGAAATTTTTCTTTACATTATATTGTTTTTCTTTTCATTATTGATCACCCTATACTAATATGTTAGACAATTTAGTATGAGAAAATTTAATTGCTAAAAAATTTCATAATGTTCTGAATTTGCAATGACGATACATTCTAAAACTAGATTACTACTCATTAAAAAATACAGTAGATTTAGTTGTAAGTTGAATTACTACAGAAAGAAAGTAGCTAGAAAGCTGCTATTTTTAGTTGACAAAGAAAATAAATAAATGTATTAAATGATATAAAATTCATTTGGAAATGAAATGCTGAAACAGTCACTAAGTAGTCAACATTATTTTTTCGAACAATGTTATTGCACAAATTTCTATTACACTTTCATTTTTAATTCATCGAGACCATACATTAGACAGTTGTCTTTGATTCAGAGCACCTTCCAAAGTTTTGTTCTTTTCTGTCAAGATACTAGAATCAAAATAAGTACACATACCTATGTGGTCTCAATGACTACTTATCGATTGAGAATGACTTCAAAGGAATGTAATCGAGCATGCTGAGTATTTTGTCAATATTTGTTGTCCTTGGGTATTATTCTTGAGTTTGTAGGACTTGTTTATAAAAAAAAGTCGCTTTCAGTGATGTAAAAATAATAGAATGAAGCTTTTGTGAAAGAGACTCATTTCTATATTATTGAAATTCAAACTTCTAGGATACGCTCAAAACGATATGCTAAAGTCGATTCATAAATGAGACGAATACGTAGAATTGAAAGAATTATCGTATGATTTCTAGAAAATCTTAATATATTCAAAGAATTGGAAGGACGCCAGTAGATTTTTCACATCTTTTGAACATTGACAATACTATTGTGAGAATATTCTAAAAGTTTGAACTCCAACAATGTAGAAATGAGTCTCTCCCACAAAAGTTTCATTCTGCTCTTTTTAAAATCACTGAAAGCGACTTTTTTTTTAATAAACAAGTCCTACAAACTCAAGAATAATACCCAAGGACAACAAATATTGACAAAATACTCAGCGTGCTCGATTACATTCCTTTGAAGTCATTCTGAATCGATCAGTAGTCATTGAGGCCACATAGGTAGGTGCACGTATTTTGATTCTAGTATCTTGGCAGAAAGGAACAAAACTTTGAAAGGTGCTCTGAATTAACGACAACTGTCTAATGTATAATCTCAATGAATTAGAAATGAAAGGGTAATAGAAATTTGTGAGATTCCATTGTTCGAAAAAATAATGGTGACGACTTAGTGACCATTCCAGCATTCCGTTTTCAAATGAATTTTATATAATTTAATAAAGTTATTTGTTTTCTTTATCAACTGAAAGAATATTGGGGTTTTTTTTGAATTGGTCATGTTGCCAGCCTCGTATGATACCTTATTTGAATTTTCGGAGGCTTGAATCATTTTCTGTTGATGGATATAGAGGAGGCATAAGAAGATATAGGTGGCATAGGACGTATAAGGAGGTATAGAAGATATAAGAAGGTATAGGAGGTATAAGAATGTGTAGGAGGTATAGGGAGGTATAGAAGATATTGGAGATATTGATTAATTGGCACAGCTGATCATTCAATAGCGTTCGAATTTAAATATCTATCTGTAAAATATATTGGTGCTACTTGCCAAACCTTGCTCGAAAAAATCAATTTCTATAGCTTCTATATCTCCTATACCTGCTTATACCTTCTATACCTCCTCTATACCCATCAACAGAAAATGATACAAGCATCCGGAAATTCAAATAAGCCATCTAATCGCTCGTCTTCACTTATTTTTTGCTTACTTGGAGAGTCACGATTCATGCCATCAGTTTTTTTGTAAAGACAGTTTGTCATAAAACCGAAGTTTTCACGTAACAAGCCGCGATTTTTGATATTGATGTTGATACAATATTTACTAGTGTCTCTATACACTTCGTGCAGTATATATTGAAATATGATAGAATGTATAACAATGATGAGGGTGTCGTACGCAACTATTTTTAAGAAACTTGAAACAAATTTTTGTTAGTTTATCTCTCAGTCCAAAGTGACATTGTGGTAATGGGACTTGTAAAACTTCACTAGGTCGTCCCTCAAAGGGTAACTCACCTTGACTTTGGATATAACGTGGCCTGAAAAAACTGCGGTTTTCAGCGATTGTTATTAATCACAAAAGATAGACCGTTTATTCAGTCTTCGAAAACCGGTGAAAATTGCAGTATCGAGGTACCGTGGTAATTGACGGTTTCAAAAAATCGAATAAACGGTCTGACTTTTGCGGTTTCTGAAAAACCGCTGATAGCCGGGGTTTTTCTTCAAAGATTTTTCCGTCAATATTGTGCGTATAAGAATAAACACATTCAAAACTTAGTATTGTGAATCAAGTAGAACATTTATCAGTAATTGCGATTCAGATTGTAATTATTTTAAGTATTAAAAACTTGTTAGATGATTGTTCGTTTTCATTCCCTCTAGCCAATACATGAGTTGATCTGAATATTTAAATATTTATTCATCCAAAAACCCAGTTTGTCAGTTATGTTAAATATGAAACTCGAGTTTCTTAGTATACAAAGAATAAATATTATATTTTCTAATGAGAGAATATTCATTGCTTTATTGTTATGTGATCGGGTATTGTATATGACATTTGAGAATTTAACTACTTAATATGTAAGTCAGAGGCAATCCATATTGACATTTTTCAAAAAAGAAAATATTTCAAGTAAAAAGGCAGGTGGAACAAAATGATGTTAGATTTCGATTTTCGAGAGAATTAGTAGAAATTGTTTCATAATATGAGAAAGCAATCCTGTCCTAAAAATTACTATATAGACCTTCTTGTAGTAATTACTTTTCACGGGTCGATACGAAGCGTATACAGGATGTCCAAAAATTTCGCACTCAAAATGTTTTTGCGTGTATGGACTTGTGGAACACGCCGTATATTTGTTCATTCATCATGTAAACGAAATGTTTTATTAATTGTTACCAAATTTTTTCATGAAAAATCTAAAAATCATTGAAAGTGTTTGAGCAATCGCTAAAACCGCAGTAAAATTGTGAACATTTCAATTTCTCACAGCATTGACACATCCAAAACACGTTAAAAAATATTAATCTTAAACTGTTCTAACGCGTTTTCGACGATTAATCAAACATTTTAAACAGTTTATAAAGTGATATGTTTAAACGTCTTTTTGGTCGTTAATGTGTCTGCCTGAGTTATCACACATGAACAGTTATTCAGAAAAGTAATCTTTGTGAAGAATCAAAGCTAAGTGAAAGGTTAGTATGATCTTTTTTGCTTCAAATGACCTAAATAGTCTATTTATTCATAATGAATATCAAAAGATCAGTTGAAAAGAATTTTTTCTAACATTCATTTGTTCATCTTTAAAACGAAATACAAACTGCCTAGGTTAATTGTATATATGATATAAGAAAAGTCACGCTATTTAAAATAATGTTAAACCGATGACTCTGCTAATTTCATATTCTTCTTTTTGAATTCTTGATGGACTAATTTTCCTTGATTTGATTTAATGAAGAGCTCTTCTTCTTTTTTGTTTATTACAATATTTCAATTCTCAGAAAATATTTGTAAGAATGACACGACACCGATTTATACGCTTTTTTTTTTGTTTCATTAATATTGCTAATTTTTTGTTTTTGACCAACAAATTCAAAGGAATATAAACAAGAATACTTTTGATGTTATAAAATAAGTGTTCGATATTTGTATTTATATATGATGTCGTTGATACTTGATTGAACAATTCATATTTTTATGATAGATATATAAATTAATAATCATTTATTGTTTTTTTTTTATTTTAAGAATTTCTTTCTGCTTTATCGATTTGGAAAAATGGCAAGATGTGATGCAACTGAAGATGTATTTGAACAAATTGATACAAATCGAGATGGAAGGTAGGAATAAAAGAATTTTTATCAAAATAATAAATTGATATATACATATCTAGGATTGACAAAAATGAATATCGCACATGGGCTTCAAATACTGAAGGATTACCTTCTTCATCATATGAATCATCAACTAGTAGATTTAATCTTAATGATAATACTACTAGTCGATTTGATCGAGATAGATATAGATTCGGATCTCGATATGCTTCGGAAAATACGACTGATAGATATGGTTCATATGGAAATACAGCACTACCTAGTGATTTGACTAGTGAAGCGGCGATTCAAACAAATAGTTCAGCAGAAACGGATGCATATCTTGAAAAATCAGCTCATAATATTTACAGGGATCCCAATCCACAAATTATTCGACGAGCAACAACTGGAACTCCAGTAACATATGAACAACGAGTGGTTATTCGATATCTTCAACCACCAACAGTTCCAGAACCAGGAGTAATGAAACAAATGTTTAAAAATTCAAACTTACTAATCTTTATATGATTTTAGCCACTCATTATTAAAGAAGTGCGTCCAGCACAACCACCACCACCTCGACCACTTATCATACGAGAAAATGCATCATCTGTTTGTTCACCACCTCCCCTTATCTTACGTGAACGACCACCAACACCACCATCATGTATTCCCAGTGAAACAGGTTAAAAAAAACAAATCTAACTTACATAGATTAGACTGATCAATGTATTTTATTTTACAGTTACTCGTTGTTTACCTCCTATACCTGCTCCACCACGATCAGTTGTCATCGAACGTTATCCATCGCTTCCACCAAAACCACGTAAAATAATTATCTTCAGTTTTCTTTTTGTTTTCTTTTAAATTCAGATCATTGTTTCTTTGCTATTTAGGCGATATTATAATTGAACGATGGATTCCCTATGGACCTCCATCTGAACGTCGTCGAGTTGTTGAACCTGCTCCTCCTCCTATAACATATCCAGAACCACGTAATACGGTTATTATTTATGAAAATGTTGAAACACGTACAGCCCGGAAATTTGAAAAACTTGGTGTTGCCCAAGAAAATCCTGCCGATTATGTAGCTCGTTATGGGGCATCACTTTTAGATCCAAGAACACTTGTTCAACAGGCTCGTAGTGCTGGTGTTATTGAAGATATAGTAAAAGTTTTTCCAAAAAAACAAAAAAATATATATATATAAATTTTTATTGTAGTCGCCTCCGGTAGGATCATCTTCAATGTATACAAATATACGTGGAAATACTGTTGATTTTGACCGGTCAAATGAAATAATCAATCGAGATTATTCATTACCACGTGTGACTAGCTACGAACGAATGCCACTAGCTGCTGGTGCACAAGCTTGTAATCTTGGTAAAATAAGCTATTCATCATCAGCATCGAATTTGGTTGGTGATCGTGCTTTAGTTAGTAGTGCTTGTACACCCCAACGTACATTTAGTGGTTGTGATTCTAGCCTTGCCGCTAATGACTCTAACTGTTATGGACAAGCAAAACAAACAGAATTTGAACAATATATTTAAAACATTATTCAAATAAAATTCTTTCGCTTTCTGCTTAAACACATTTCTTTTTTTTATTTCTTACAATAAAACATATAAACCATATAATAATAGACAGAAAAATTAAAAATTAAAAAAAGACTGATCAAACACTACTGCTACCACTATCAGCTGAATCACATTTTCTCTTATATCATATTGCTGTTATATTTAAACGAGCTGTTTCATTACATCATACCAAAGATTACCATAATATAATAATTTATTATTTGCACTGTGAATATTTTTATCAATATAATCATTTTTTGGATATGTTATTTGATGATTTATATCCATAGATAATAGCGATATGTTTTATCTTTGCTATTTAATATGAATGTTTGTGTTTCTGGTGTAAATGCTACAGGGTAGCCCAAAAGTAACCTAACACAGAATTTTTTCACTTTTTTATTTGTACATCGTCAGTTAGATCTCATATTTATACCGCATATACTAGGTGATACAGCTCAAAGATGTAGAATATGATCAGTATCGGGATGTAGCAATTTGTTCAAAAGTGTACAAATATAAGGCAGTCAAAATTAAGGTAAGAAATTTGAGTTTTAACGAAACATTTATTAGAGTCATAGAACTAGAAAATGACACACACAATAATACGTAGTTGTGAAATATTTATAACAATGAAGTTTTTCACAAAAATTGCTCAATCTGTTCACCATGTTAGTCTTTGCAAAGTTGCAATCGCTCAGGTACTGATTGAAACGCTCGTCGACATAGTTCCATTAGCAAGTTTCGTATTTCTGTAATAATAGCATCCTTGAGTACTCGAAAAATTCGAGGTTTTGTCACATACGTACGGTCTTTGATTAAATCCTATAAAAAGAAATCAGGTGAAGTCAAATCTGAAGATCTTGATAACCAATCAATTAGCCCATGTCGACTGATCCATCAATTAGAAAACTTTTTATCCAAGACGTTTTGTGCAGATTGAGCGTAATGAGCTGGAACTCCATCGTACATATAGAATATTTTCTCCTAAATTTATTTGATATTCAATCGCAGGAACAATTTCTTTGTTCAGCATCTCAAGACAGTTGTGTGTAGTAAGTAACAGTGTCACAGAAGAAGAACGGAATTATAATACCACCAGACTAAATTCCAACTCATACAATAACACTCGAAGCATTCATCTTTTGCGTAATGACGATATAACGATTTGCTACAGAGTAGTAAATACAATTATGTCGATTGACGTGTCCATTCAACTTGAAAATAGCTTCGTCGGTCTAAACAATTCGGTCAGACAACGAAGGGTTGTCAGAAACCAAGTTGAGAAAAATACCGACAAATTCACAACGTCGATTAGAATCATCATCATTCAGGCCATGTAGTAAGCGGGGATGATAAGGCTTCAAACCCAGCTCCTTCATCATTCGTTGAAGGCTGGTTGTAGTCAGATTCTTTCGTACAAGATTCAAGATGTTGTTTCGTGCTGATAGAGTTAGATTATAATGGTCTTGGAACTGACGAGCAACTTCAACCGCATTCTGGTAAATGATGTACCACTTGACAACCCGAATTCTTTCTTATGTAGACAGCCGAGAGCGTTGACTCGTGATTAAAAACAATCTGGAAAAGATTCAGCATTATTAGGTTGCAATGGTTATTTGCTGCTTATTTTTATCTGATCCTGCTACATACGTGATCACACATAGTGCTTGGATAAAAATGTATAGTTAGAACTGTGCGTAGAGCCAAGAATATAAAGAGAACAAAAACTGAATCAGTGGATGGAAGAGCAAACGACTTGTGCTTTTGTCTACAGATGCCACCACTAGCATATATATAAGTACTAGTAAGGAAGATAAAATAATTTATGTTATGACAACAAAACTATAACTGTTAAATGCCCTTTCTTACTTTTAACTGTCCTATGTTTGTACACTTTTGAAAAAATTATTACACTTAGATGCTGATCATATGCTGCATCTTTGAGTTATATCACCTAGTATATGGGGTATAAATATGAGATCTAGCTGACGATGTACAAATAACAAAAGTGAAATCTTTTGTGTTAGGTTACTTTTGAGCTACTCTGTATACATATAATTGATAATCTTCTTGTAATTCAATCCAAATGATTGATTTTAAAGAAACAAGACAAAAATTACCGAACAAAATTGTTCGATTTGGATCACGTGTTACTTTTAGAGATGATATTGGACTTTTTCTTCTATACCAGAAAAATTTCTATAACACTAATCATAAACACATACTCGACCTTTTTTACTACAATATTTAAAAATTAATATTTTTGTTGAACATGAAGCACATATACGACGACCACATGATCGACAATAATGTTATCGACGAGGAATAAATTTTGAACTAGAAGGATTGTGACAAATTTGATAACGTTTTACATCGATATTATTGATCCATATAGGAGCCCCAGCATCTAATTATTGTTCATCAGAACGATAACACCATTCACGAATTTAAATCTTGTAACCTATACATGTGTAAAACTGTTGGTTCTTCCAGCTAACCACTAATTAAAAGTAATTTGCAAATATCTTTCTCATCCTATGAGGAACAAACCCAAAAGAAAAAATCAGGATAGACTCTACGGTACGAATCGCATTTGCAGTGAAGAAGATTTTAGTGAGACAAGGCTTCAACAAAATTCTTCTTAAAAACTTGATTTTTCAGAGGTCCTATCAAGTCCCGAAACAAAAATTTTTGTGTTATTATCTTCTAGAGATTCAAACATAGTGTTAAATACATTCATGATTTCAAAATACATGCGTCTCTATCTTGTGAAGTTACGTTGCTAGTCAATGATTTTGTTCATATATGCTAAAGTTAATGTTGAATTAAATGGAAAAGTTTTCGTTAAAACTCAAATTTATGTGTGGATCAACATTGAATTCGAATTCTTATTCATGAACTCGAATGAAAAAATGGCATTTCGAGTAAGAAAATCATCAATTGATCAATTAAGTTTAAATCCGTAAAGTTATAAATGGTTTTATAGACAAGAATGATCAAAAAAAAACTGTTCATAGCTTCTCATGTATTTGTTTAATTTGTCCCTTGGTTATTCTATTACCGGAGGTGTCATTACTTCATCAAAGCTCATAGATATGAATCCAAATTTTCGACGTTGATCTATAGACTAATTCAAGTTGTAACATAAACTGCTCTCTTAATTCGAGATCAAATTTAATCTTAGTTTGAACCCTGATCTATTAATTTAGGGTAGCCGAAAAGATTACAAACGTACAACGGTAGAATTACTTGATTCTTACTACCATTGGAATTTTAAAAGAAGGCACCTGGAAAAAAAAGCTTATAACTTTCGAACGAAAAGTCATAATGACCTGCGGTTTTCAGCAATCGATAGAAGATTATAGGGGACACATTT